GGTGGGAGACGGCCAACATGTTAAAAAAAATATACGTGCTAAAGATCTTGAATAATTTGCGTAAAGTTCTGAAGATATAAATACACTAAAGTACAGTGGACCCCCGGTTAACGAACTTTTTTCATTCCAGTAGTATGTTCAAGTGCCAGTACTGACCGAATTTTTTCCCATAAGGAATATTGTGAAGTAGATTAGTCCATTTCAGACCCCCAAACATACACGTACAAACGCACTTACATAAATACACTTACATAATTGGTCGCATTCGGAGGTAATCGTTATGCGGGGGTCCACTGTATTTATAATAGTAATTTATTTAAGGACATCTAATTGTGCAAGCAGTGGAGCAACAATGAATGACCAAATCTTTACCAAAATCTAAATTTATTCAGCGAAGATTATAATGCCATTAATCAAAACCAATGAAAACTGGTTCAAAAATCACCCACTCATGGCTATGCTGCCAATAAGAATGCAACCTCTTGTTTAGAAAGATGCACAAATTGTGCTCAAAGTTCTGTGTCAAAGTAAATTCTTTTCTTAAATTTTGGCAAGAAAACCAAAAAATTGTGGCAAGAGAGGCACAAGGGAGATATGGATGATGGAAACCATATGGTATTCTGTCAAGATGGGGATACATTCTTTTGTCAGGTACAGCACAATATAAGAACCTCAATATCATGCTTTCGTAATACCATAGTTAGACATCAGCACTTACAAATAAGGTACCTGTAAACCAATTATTTTTTTTTTGAAAACTAGTTATCTCTCACTGGGGTAAGGTGACTTAAAATGAGAAACACATGTCCACTGTCGTTCATTCGTTGTTGGGGTTGTTATTGTTAATTATTATTATTACATTCATGGGGAATACCAAACCCACTGGGCGTCATACAGTGCCTGAAAAATGTAATGCAATCACTTTTAATGTCAAGGAGGGAAGGTCAAGTCCAATTCCTTGGATTAAGAACCCCCTTAGTGGTGTCAAGGAACCTCTCCTGAGGGGGTTGTGAACCAATTAGGCTTTTACAACAACTAATCTGCAGCACAAACATGTTGAAATGCCAGGCAGGCAACTTCTTACAATACATATGTCTATTTCTTTTCTGCAGTATACAAAATGTAGTTTACATGTAATAAAATACTGTTAAGAACAAAAGAAAGCCACTAGCATGCGGTGCATTTCGGGCAGACTAATCCTAATGCTTACAAAATACTTAAGAACTAGACATTGGTAAACGAGTAGAATTTTTTTTTTTTAAACGTACAAGAAGTGAGGTTGCTAAGTCAATTAACTAAATGTTAATAGTACAATTATCAGTGAGCTTAACTTAATTGGGATTTCTTAAGCAGTTTCAAACCGACTGTCTTCAGGCTATGGGACAATTATAAAAGAGGTGAAGAAACAGGAAGTTAATTAGGTTTCAGTAGAATTATAATGGAACAAGACGAGTAATTAATTTTCTATGGGAGTTTGAGGAAAATTGGAATAACAAGGATAGAGTTGGATGTGCTGGTTTTGTTTGGAATAGTATAGTGTTGGTTTTGCTACGTTAGGGAGATGAGGTGATTTTTAACAATAGCTTTAAACTTATTTGGCAGACAGGGAACCTTTCAATGGTTCAGGCAATGAATTCCAGATCTTAATTAAGGGCTCTTATGTGTATTGTATTTTTGCACAGGGTGAGTAGGACATGGGAAATGTCAAAGAGCTTTGTGTCATGTATTGTGCCTGTGTTTTGTTGGAGCTATCAAGGAAAAGTTTTTGAGGACGGTTTATGTTGGAGCTAAACATTCTATATGCAGTGGAACCCCAGTTTTCATCTTTATTCCATTCCAGAAGGTCAGCCGAAAACCATTTTGTACGAAAACTGCAGTAATATTTCCCATAAGAAATACATGTAATGTAAATCCAATTAATCCTTTCCAGACACCCAAAAATATTAACAAAAAAATACATTTTATAGAGAATAACTATAGTTTTACATACAGAAAACAATGAGAAATAAATATAAAGCACTAATGAAATGGATAAATGAACATTTAACATCACTTTTACCTTTATTGAAGACTCTTGTTGGCGTATAAAAGACAGCGAGGAGGGGAAAGGAAGGAGAGGTTATTGTCTGGAAGGGGAATCCTCTCCATAAGGGCTTCAGGTATCAAAGCCCTATTCGGGGTTACTTCCCTTATTTGTCTTTTACTGGCACTAGGACCAGCTTGAGAGTCACTGGACCCCTGTCACACAAAAAATCTGTCTAGAGAGGCCTGTTTCTGGCATCTCTAAGATTTGCCTAAAATGGGACATGGCATTGTCATTGAACATGTTGCTGACATGGCTTGCAACAGCTTTGTTAGGGTGATTTTTCTCTACAAAACATTGCACCTCACTCCACTTTGCACAATTGTCCTTAATCGCTGAAGAAGGCACATTCTCCCCTCTCTTTTCCTCCTCCTCCTCCTCCTCTGAAGCAATTTCCTCAACTAAGGTCTGTTGCTGTTGCAAATGAAGGTCTTGCAGCTCTTCAGTGGTTAGCTCTTCCCTGTGGTTGTCCACCAACTCTTCCACATCCTGGCCACTCACCTCCAACCCCATGGACTTTCTTTGGCCCCATGGTGGCTTGCAAACACAAAATCAATGGATTATTATGAAATGTTTCAGATAAATGCACGGAGTAATACTCACTGAACAAGTAACAAAGACAGACTGAGTCATGAACGTATGAGCGGGCAGGTGGGCGCACCTGGTACAGACAATTTCCAAGTGAATGTATGAAAACAGGAGGAAAATTTCGCTGAAAAAAGTGGTCGAAAACTGAATTGTATGATAACTGGACAGGACGAAAACCGGGGTTCCACTGTACTATACATGTAATATGAGTCTATATTTTACACATTAAGTAAGTTCAAACTCTTGAAGAGAGGAGGGGGGGGTTGTCTTGCACAGGAATGGGTGATAGTCCACACAGCAGCTTTTTGTTAGGTTATTAATGGCTTAAGGTGATTTGTTGTAGTAGATCCCCAGGCACAAATACCATAGAAATAACGATCAGGTTGAATTCTGTTTACAGGAAGCCCACTCACTCTGCCCACTAAGTTCATTTCTATAGCCACCATTCAATGCAGATCAAGATCACCATCATCTCAAGCCTATTTTTACGTCCACTCCGGATATGCAGACCCCATCAAAGTTAAACCAAGAAAAAGATATCCTTAGAACACTATTCTCCAGATTAGGATACCCTGACTGGTTTATAAAACAAGGAGAAACGAGAGCAAATATCAACTATTACAAAACCTTAGTTCACAAAAGCTCAACTCCATCCAGCAAATCTCAACTCACAGTACCCTTTCAACAAGGTACATTCAACTCTCTTGAGAAAGTGACCAACAAAATTATATTCTATGCTAACAAACTAGGGAATCTCTTTACCAATAAACACAAACATTCGGCTACACCAGACACAACAGTGGTTCACTAGATACCATGTAGACTACAATCAAGTATACATAGGGCAGACAGGCCAACACCATCTACAAGGATCATCGAACACCAGAGAGCAATAGGTTATGCACAGGAAAATTCAGCCATTTTTCAACATGTCAGCTACAATAATCACAATATTCACTGGGAAGCTACCACCACCATACACAAATCACACACTGCAGTCACAAATGCAGAATCATAGAATCTGCCTTCATAGCTACCACTCCCAGTTTCAATATCCCACAGGGACAATAGAAGCCAGACATCATTTCAAAATTTGTCCTCAATAAGTACACACAAGCACCCAACCTAATACAAAACACCAACACATGACCAGGAATCACATAGCACAAAGGAATGTCCTACCTAAATTTTTAGCTTCACCACAGGTCTTGTCTTCTTCATCCACTCAGTACTTGACACATCCTTCAATGTGCCACTCCCTGTTATGGAGTGAGCTGCAACCTTCCCTATATGTATGTATTATGTATGTATGTATGTATTATGTATGTATGTATATAGTATAATATATATATAATATTATATATATATATATATATAATATGACTATTTATATATATTAGTATATATAAATATAATAATTAATAATATATATGTTCTCCTTTCACTTATGTATCTGCTGAAGAGGACCCAGAAGAGACGAAATATACAGTTGTTCACGCGAGTATTATGAGCAATGAACAAGTGTTCATTAATACTTCAGTTGTCCACTACAGACAAGGTAATGGTAGGTTAGAGAAGCTGTGGTAGTGTGTCTTAATTAAGTGATTCAAGAAGCCAAAACCTGAAGTGTGGGAGAAAAAAAAACACAGGTTGTTCTCATCACTTGGCCTTTGACAAGCTTGCCATCTAGGAAGAGAATGGGTCAAACTGTGGAGAAGAATTTTGCAGACTGTTGTTTTACTAAATTTCAATTACGTTTATCTCATGATTTAGCATAGTAGAAGTTAGAGAGTCTAACGTACTTAAGAAAATAAGTCTCCATGACTGGCTGGCAACAGACAATAAACCATTTTGTGCAGTGTCAGGACAGGATTTAAGAAAAGTGGCAAAACCACTAATCCATTTTTTTTTAATTATGCTGATCACATTTATTATACACAAACTGATTACATAGTTAGTCTGCTGCATTTGAGATAATACCCGAGATTCCATTTGCCTCAATTTCATATTATGACCTTAAACCTCCATTTAAACATGAGAATGTACAATATGCAGTACAATATATGAAAATAAAATCATAAATTACACTCCAAGAATGCTGTACTTACCTGGCTGGGAAACACCTTGAAAATTTGAGTCTTCAATTCAGTTTTATCAAGTTGGCATGTAGATATTTAATAATCATTCATAACATTCTTAAAAGGCACAAGCAATGCACATATGCACACATACACCCATATTATAATATACACAGCCATGCAGTTGGCCTACTGCAGTGCTCCTTCATTCGTATATTCTAATATTGATACAGTACATGCATGCACATATATTATAGCATTTTTTATAATAAAAAGTGTACTTACCCATCAGCAATTTCTTTCATATTCTTGCCATGTGTGTCACTGATTCCTTTCTCTTCATTTGAAACTTTATTAACACTTTCACCATTTTCCTGATTCAAGATATTGTTATCCTGCGCACCACTTCCTTTGTTTATTTTAAGGTCTCCCACAGAATTGTCATCATTAATTGAGTCCACTGATTTTTCCATGGTAGCCAGAGCTCCTCTTTTATGGAAAACATTCAATTTTACATAATTCTCAACTTTTTCAGACAAATCACTATTTTCTGGCTGCACAAAAGTGGTAGGCCTTTCTCCTTCGACAACTGGCTTATGCACCATTGCTTCTTTGTTCTTTGACTCCATCAAATGCTGTAGTTGAAAGAGAAAAAAAAATATATTTTACAACTTGAACTTTATGACATTTCAACCAGTTAGAAATATAAACTGGTTCTTCTCTCTTGGTATAGAAACTTTCTTCAACTACGATTTTTTTTTCTTTATACCACAATGGCTGCCTCCCAGCAAGGGTGGGGTGTGAAAAAAAGTAATTCTTCAACAGCTGTCTTGCCCAAAGTGCATGGACTTCACAATTCATATGACTCTCTAACCTGAAACATCTCCACTTCTTCACAATATAAGCACTATACCTCCCACCTCTAGGACTGAAGTCCAACTAACTGGTTTCTCTGAATCCCTTCATAAATGTTATCTTCTGTTTTCTTAGTTTTTGTAATACCGTAGAGATGTTATTTATGTGTGCATCACTCAGTCCATCAAATTAAACACTCTTGGGACTATCCAGTAACTGCTTTGGTGATTACATTACTAAAGGACCCCACAATAAGCTGAAGATTTCCCTGTCCCTGACACAAGTAACCAAACCACACAGTACCAAATTATAGCGCTGTACTTCAGTGCCTTCACATACTGTACATCTGTAAGTATTGGTGCCTATTCATGAAGCTCTTCAAACACTTACACAAGAAGTCTTTGTGATCCTATTTATGTATATTATTTCTGCTTAACCTGCATAATCTGCTTAATCTGCACAATCTCTTCAGATATTAACACTACTGATATAAATATTCTATGTAATTTTGGAGCAGTTAATATTTTTAATCAGACAGTAAAACATAGCCTTTCTAATAAAATACTCAACTAGTTGCACTTAGCGATTCCAAACATTTAAAAAGCATTAAAACATTTATTTTTCTTTCTTATTGTTTTTAATGCTGCAAACCTTATACAGTACTGCAATCAATTCTAAATAAAAACCTTCATACATAAATATTTGGGAAATATTAATTTTTACTCTTACATGTTTTTTGACAAACTTTTACAGAAGAAAGTCAAACATTAGTAGTTAATGTATATGGAGGAATTTTTATTATATAATTACAATACAGCCTCTCCTCACTTAGTGACGTATTCGTTTACCGACCGCTTGGACTTTTGACCAGCTCTCCAACCAGTGTGCAAACCTAAGTAATGTGTATTGGAGCTGATTTCCTCTATTCTGTTTATTACATTATATAGTACACTACTGCATATCATTTAAAAATATACTGTACTAGAAATGTTATAAATGGTGCAAAGGTGACATTAAAAAAATATCTAAAGATGGTTCCCACAAACTCACTACCAGTATAGTATGCTCCTCGCTTAACAACCTCTTAGGAACAGAACCCCATTGTTAAGTGAGGAGAGGCTATATCTGTTTTACATACTGCCGTAAAGTTTCTGATTTTTTATGCTCTACCTTGTTGGATATAGGCACAACTGACAAATTTGAGAGAGCATATAAATCTGTAATGGAAGGAAGGTGGGGCAGGGGTCGGCCTAGGAAAGGATGGAGGGAGGGGGTAAAGGAGGTTTTGTGTACGAGGGGCTTGGACTTCCAGCAAGTATGCGTGAGCGTGTCAAATAGGAGTGAGTAGAGACATGACATGCTGCTGGTGCAAGAGCAAGGTAACATTTATGAAGGGATTCGGGGAAACCAGCAGGTCGAACTTGAGTCCTGGACATGGAAAGTACAGTGTCTGCACTCTGAAACGGGGTGTTAATGTTGCAGTTTTATAACTTTAGTGTGAGTGCACCTCCGGCAAGAGTGACAGAGTGAATGATGTTGAAAGTTTTTCTTTTTCGGGCCACCCTGCCTTGGTGGGAAATGGCCAATGTGTTAATAAAAAAAAATAATTGGTACAATAAAAGCTAAATTATAAGGCAACATGCTCTAAAACACAAAACATAATTACTAACCTTATCTTCATCTATAATCTTCTCATATTTGTATTTTTCTTTCATGCTATCTTCTTGTGCGAGTAGATGATCATGAACCTCTTCACTAATGAAATGTATAAACTTTTCTTTACCTTTCATCTTCCTTTTATCTAAAGCAAGTTGTCTCGTTTCAGAGGGAGAATCTGACTTTTCTGGAATGACTGTTGTCTCTACTTTTAATGGTGGGGACTTTTCTTCAGCTGGACTAGTATAGTCAGCAAGATTAATAGTATTCTTTGTTTGTGTTGAGGTTTCCTTTAATACATCTGATGATTCTTTACCTTGCTGCTTAGCCATTTCTTTAATGTGATGATATCCTGTGGCAGACACAGCTGCTGGCACTGCATGCTTTGTTAAAAACTCTTTCTTTAACGAAGTGAGTAACTTTTTAGTATCTTCTGCTTTATAAACTGGTTTTGATGTGGCATCACTTTCTGGAATGTCTGATATGCCAAGGATGCTTTTTGCTCTTTCAACATTACTCTGAGCCAGGGATTTAAATCTATCCACATAGTCCGTGGATAGAGGTGGTGTTGGCACTGCAGGATTGCTGCTTCTCTTTTCCTGTGAAACTTCAGCTGTGCTTTGAAAGACATCTTGACATTGGCCTATACTGAAAACAAATAAGTATTTGTCAGTTTAAAGCAAATACTGTATAAGGGAACTCAAATATGTAATAGGTATAGAAAAATTACTAGAGTACAATTTATCAAAACATGCGAATGCACAACAAGAGAGATTGGTTGTTTGGAACACCTTGTAGTGGAAGTTGTGAGCTATACTGAATGTATGAAGTACCATATTATCATACACAATACAAAGGTTTACTTCATTATAAATATAATGTGTGAGATATGCAAGAATTTAGCTGGTATACAAGAATCTAACTATGTGAGGTATACAAGAATACATCTGAGAGGTATACAAGAATAGAGCTGTGAGATATGAAAGAATATAACATATATAAGAATAAGGCTTTATTTTGTAGTAATAAGGGTGAAATGACAGTAAGTTTATGATAGTCACTAAAGATAGTTTCAAGACTTTTCCCTTTGTAAAGACAATACCAAACACAAAAATATGTATGAAAGACTTCCATGTCATAGTCACAATTACAACAGTGAAATTTTTACACAAATAGCCCACACATAGAAGAGAGGAGCTTACGACGACATTTCTTTGTAAATGGTCCAAGTCGGCCCGAAACATCGTCATAAGCTCCTCTCTTCTATGTGTGGGTTATTTGTGTATTGTTCTCGGTCTTGGTATTGTGCCTTTTTTTGTTAGTGAAATTTTTACTGTTACATGAAGGAATGTAGGGATATATAATCATTACCAATTCAGGTACCTGGCACTAGGACTGGTAATGAGAAGTGTAAAATATGAATTTGTATGTCAGTCTGGAGCCTTTCACAATTTGGCAAATTCTGAATTTTTTAAAATTTATTTCCTTTAGCAACCATGGTGCAATGATTAACATGTTTACTCCATATATATATATAAAAAAAAAGTGTAACTGGAGTTCAACCCCACCTGAGTTTGCCCTTGTACCTTTACATTAGGGATATTATGAAAATTTGTGTATATACACTATATATTGCAAGACATCATAGTCCTACACACAATACTTATATAAAAAGGAAGCATAGGGATTCATGGATAATGGACGTTTCAGTCACCAAATGGAAACCTGAGAAGGTGGCATTAGGTTTTCAGTCTTATGCTGCTATGTATTTCCACACAAATCTGCACATTATTTCCTCTCCAGACAGGGACAGGATCCAGTACAGCATAAGCTTTCAATAAGTAATCGAGAAAGTATTAGTGCGTTAAAGCAGCTCTGTGAGAATTATTATAACATGGGGAAGTGTTATATTATTATAATCATGGGGAAGGATTATACAGCACAGGTGGGGATGATATGGAAGGTATTCAGGCTCAATTCAGAGAACCAGAGCACAGATCCAATTCCCTATATCAAGAGCCCCTCACCAGCGTCAAGGAACCTCCCTTGAGGGGAGCTTTGCGAGTTAGCAAATATTATATGAACTCTGAATTAAACCAGAATATTACAAAAATCAAGGTATCTACAGCCACAATATTTTGTCTGATAAAATAGTTTACTCTCCCTTAAATACACCCATCTTCGGTTGTTTCGAAGTGATAGAGAACAAATAATTTTTATTTTTTTTGGTGTAATTATGCTATTATCCAGCAATGTTGTTGCTCCAAATCAACCCAAATGTTGGCTCATAATTTACCCATTAGTCATCTGTACAATAATCTATCATGATTAACTAACCTGTAATGTGCACATAAGATGATCAACACGAACATGAACTTGCACATCACACTACACTGAAGCTTTAAAAGCCTGTTAAGTCTATCGCTCATTTGAATTTGGATGGGGATTTCTCGACGACGATCCTTGGCCATTGCACTTATTTCTTCCATTTGGGGTCCCTCCCTACGACGTTCGCTGAAAACCGGCTCCACATTTTGGTACGAGTCATTTTAACAAAGCCCATTGTCTTAGTGTGACTGACAGAACATGGTAATTAAAGATCCTAGGGGTGTTTTAAACGTAGAGTTAAAGGTGTTGGCTGCGGCGGCCAGACAACACTGACGTGTATGTTGTTTTGATCAGCGCTGCCACCAACCCTCGCTTACTATGCTACACTCTGCTGCACTGGCAACACCCCTCATGGGAGGTTCCTTGACGCTGGTGAAGGGCTCTTGATCTTGGGAATTGGATCTGTGCTCCGGTTCCCTGAATTGAGCCTGAATACCTTCCATCATCCCCCATGAGCTGTAAATCCTACGGGTTTAACGCTCCCCGTGATTATAATTATAATAATGCACTGGCAACACTGCTCTCACCATGGCCACTATGACCCCTCAAGGTCCCTGGCTAATTTATATTATCTAATGGTTATAATTGTAATCATAATTTTTAAAGGGAGGTGACCGATAAGCCAGCGGAAGGCCTCGGTCAGATGACCAAAAGTTCCAACTGCGGGTCATTATATAACTAAGACCCGCGTCAGGAAACACTTAAGTAAGTTTTATTCAGGTATACACAAATACAGTTACATAGAATTATCATACATAGCAGCATATGTGTAGAGAACCTAGGATAACCCAAAAAAGTCAGACAGAGTGACTTATTTCCATTGGGGTCCTTTACTTGTCCTGTTTCCTAACAAACCTTACCTTATGTAACCTAACCTGGGTAAGTTAGTTTATTTAAGTATATGTACACATAAGTACATTTATCATACATGGTAACATGTGCGTAAATTACCTAGGATATCCCCAGAAAGAGCCAGACAAAGTGACTTATTTCCATTGGGGTCCTTGTAATATTCACTCGGTAGGACAACAGCACTACCAGCTGCACCAGTGGATTGGTGAACAGAACCATAAGGAAATTGGAGCACACATCAATAACTGGGCCTTTCAAACTGAACTGTTTGCTATACTCCTCGCACTCTAATGCGTCTATGTGATCAAAGGTTGATGCTTTAATTGTAAATTAGTTTTTACTATCCATAAATGCTCTCAGCTCCTGAAGTATCAATTGTGGCATGCCTGTGTCAGAAGCCAAACACAGGTATGCTAGGATTGTGGACAGTGGGGACGGAGTGCACCTTTTACGAATTCCGTCTCACATGGGTCTTCAGATGCATGATTGAACTGATGAATTAGCAAAGTCATGTGCTTTCAGAGAGGGAGTAGATTACAATCTTGGGCTATCAGTTAGCGTTTTGAGAACAATAATACGAAAGAACTGCAACTGAACTTTATTCTATCACGCAGGAGCCACATATTTAAGGTACATCCAACAAAATAAGCAGACTCATCACAACACGCATGAGAGATCTATGGACCAGGTACTGAACACAATCCTTCCTGTCAGTAATGTGGTCAGTAACATTTCTCCAGCACTCGTAGGGGACCATATCAGAATACCAACTAGGTCCACGGCCTCCATCAAGGGCCTAGTGAAACCGAACCTTGCATGTGGACTCACCTATATGTGGTTGCAGGGGTCGATTCACAGCTCCTGGTCCCGCCTCTTTGCTGGTTGCTACCAGATCCACTCACTTTCGGCTACAAGCGCCTTGAACCTCTTCTTAAAGCTATGTATGGATCCTTCCTCTACCACTTCACTCTCTAGATAGTTCCACTTCCTGACAACTCTAAGGGTAAAGAAATACTTCCTAATATCCCTATGACTCATCTGAGTTTTCAACTTCCAGTTGTGCCCTCTTGTTCCTATTTCCCATCTCTGAAACATTCTGTCCCTGTTCACCTTGTCAATTCCTCTCAGTATTTTGTACGTCGTTATCATATATCCCCTAATCCTCCTGTGTCATCAGGATGAATTCCCTTAACCTTACCTTACAGGATATACCCATTAGCCCCGGGACTAGTCTTGTTGCAAACCTCCGCGCTTTCTCCAATTTCTTGATGTGCTTGACCAGGTGTGGTTTCCATGCTGGTGCTGCGTACTCCAATATGACGCTGACATACACGGTTTCCAGTCGTAAATGTATGATACTCCTCGTCGAGTAAGGTTTGCAGCCTATACCCCCTGAGCCTGTACTCCGTCTACGGTCTTCTTTATCCTTCTCCAAGCTTCATAACTTTGTACTTGGTGGGGTTAAACTCCAGGAGCCATTTGTTAGACCAAGTCTGTAGCCTGTCTAGATTCCTTTGCAGCCTTTCCTGGTCTTTGTCAACTTGTATTCTCCTCGTTAGTTTCACGTCGTCTGCAAACAGGGACACCTCAGACTCTATTCCTTATGTCATGTTTCACGTATACGAGAAACAGCATCGACTCAAGGACTGATTCACCGATTCTTGTGGAACCCCACCCGTCACATTCACCCATTCTGAAACCTCGTCACGGACCATCACTCGTTTTTTTTTCCTGTCATGTATTTCCTTATCTATTGCAGTGCTTTTCTTTTTTTCCTACCTACTCCTTCACTTGTGTACCAGTCTCTTTTGTGGTACTATGTCAAAAGCCTTCTTACTGTTCAAGAAAATGCAATCTGCCCACCCTACTCTCTACCTCTGCTGTCTTACTTCTGTTATCTTGTTATAGAACTCCAATAGGTTTGTGACACAAGATTTTCCATCCCTGAAGTCGTGCTGGTTGTCATATATGAACCCACTCCTTTTTATGTACTCCACAACCACCACTCTTCTGAAAATATTCTCCATAACTATGTATACTCATTTAGTTGTGGTTGCAGGGGTCGATTCACAGTTCCTGTGTTTGTGCTCACCTAATTGTGGTTACAGGAGTCGATTCATAACTCTTGGCCCCGCCTCTACTGGTCGCTAGTGAGAGAAAGAGGCGAGGTGGGAGTTTGTTTATTAAGGAGAGAAATCAAGAGGTAAGGCTGGTTAATTGGGTTTAAAATCTTATTCATTACACACGAGAAATTAAGGTTGCATGTAATCTGTTCACCACCAGTCAAAGATTCTTTAATCCCAAATATGGGCCATTGACAAGCAAACATTTTATTTCTTTGTGCAGTAAAACAATGTAGTTTCCATGTAATAAAATTTTAAGCACACAAGAAAGCCACTAGCATGCATATGCATTTCGAACAGTATATTAAAATATACACTCCTTTACGTATATATGCACTGTTACTTTCAGTGCATAAATATCAAAAGGGAAATACTCATCAGAATTTATGCAAGTGAGGTAAGGTTGGAAATCAAGTACTACGTAGCGTATTCTGCTGCTCGGACTCAAAGGCCCTGAGAGCTAAACATAGCGGAGCTGCACAAAGCGATACTGAGGTAAACATTTTTACTACTGAACTGAACCTAACTGATACGTATCGACATTTCTTTAACTGTGTGCTAGAGATTATAAGTCCTTTAATTAAACAAAAATGCAATAGAGTAGTTTATTAGATACAATAGCAGCACAATAAGCAAAAAAACGTTATCTTAGTAAACGTCGAGACAAGAAGCAACTTTGCTATTTTTAGCGCAGCTTTGTCCCAGCTTCGTTGACAACTCTGCCAGTGCCGTTATAAAGGGTTCCCAGTACATCATATATTTAGGCCAACAACACGCCAACAACATCTTTCAACACACCCATAGCAGTGGTAATATACTTAAATAAATACACAAACGCTCAGTAGTAAATGGAAGGACTGTGAATATGACGACACATCAGTGTTATCTCTGCTGTGGCGAGACATATACGTAGATGACACACGCGCTTGTTATAATTATATGTAAGTTTATTTAGGTGCAGAACCTATCTTTCACCTCCTCGAATCAAATCTAATTATTTCCCATTTCCCTAGCGCTGTATGAATGTTATGGGTTTAGTGCTACCATATTGGTTTTGGTTCCTAACAATTTTAAAATTTTGAGGTAGTGTAATCTTGACACAGTTAGTTTAATATGTTTATTATGCACCCCATACCCATTCAGTGGGCGGTAGTCAAAAGATTACAGAGGTACATAATGGGTCCAGGGACTGGGCCTCAAAGTTTTGATAGCTGAGCAAGTTACAGAGGTAATGAATTCACAATTTACAAAGGTAATGAACTCACAATTTACAAAGGTAATGAACTCCAGGTAGGTCTAGTCACAATCATGACAAGTTACAAAGGTATTTACAGATTACAGAGGTACACAATGGGTCCAGGGACCGGGCTCCAAAGTTTTGATGGCTGAACTAGGTACAAGGTAATGAACTCACAAGTTACAAAGGTAATGAATACTGTAAGAATGGTTACTTACGTGTATACATGGCTGCAATCATGAACAAATTTTAGAGTAATGAGCAATTTACACTTCCACACCCGGTCACAACTGTAGTGAGTTATTGGTGCAAATGTTGATTGCTGAGTCTCTCTCTCTCTCTCACACACACACACACACACACATACAAATTCATACACACACACACAGTGCTGGCAATTTTGCAGACATTAAATTGTAGCAGTTTTACTTTCTCCACTGATTTTTTTCAGCTTAATACTTTTGTATTTTTTTTCGACCTACATCTTGAACTATACTCAACTATACTCAAGTACTTTAAGGGTGATGGACTGGAGAATTACATCGTCTTCACATCTCGAATGTTCCTGCCTACTTTCTGTATTTGACTGAAGAAGCCTACTGTGTAGGCGAAACGTTTCGGAATAAAGTTGCCTAACTGTTGCCTATGTCTTACTTACCAATCTCTCATGATACATTATAAAACTTATTCTGACCTAACTGACATCAATGACATACTATATAAAAAAAAACCCTGGTTATGCAGAGCATTTCGGGAAGATTAGGTTAATTTTCTCCCCAGGATGCGACTCACACCAGTGGGCTAACATCCATGTGCTTAATTACTCCCAGGTGAACAGGGACAGCAGTTTTTTTTAAGGAAGCGCGCCCCATTGTTTGCACTTGTACCATGGATCGAAAAATGAACGGTGCCCCGTGGCCTAGATAAGATAAGATTTCGTTCGGATTTTTAACCCCGGAGGGTTAGCCACCCAGGATAACCCAAGAAAGTCAGTGCGTCATTGAGGACTGTCTAACTTATTTCCATTGGGGTCCTCAATCTTGTCCCCCAGGATGCGACCCACACCAGTCGACTAACACCCAGGTACCTATTTGCTGCTAGGTGAACAGGACAACAGGTGTAAGGAA